AACAGTACCGATAGAAAGAGCCCAGACAATAGAAGTGCCGAGGATCAGAACCCCAAAACTATAAGCACCTGTATGTACTGAGAGTCCTAACTACACATTACCTAAGATCAGAACCCTCAAGCCACATGTACCCACAATAAGAGCCCCACACCTATAAAGAACACCAGACTTATCAGCACCCATAACAAGGAACCCTAAAACTACACATGCCCATTACAAGAACCCGAAAACTTTGCTTGCTTGAAAACCAGGTCCCCTAATCTGGCAGTACCTATAAGAACCGTGGAGCTATAAATCCTAAACTGAGAAGCCTAGCACCTTGAATGCGCTTAAGAACCCTAAATGCCGTAAGGGTCCATGTACCCGAATAGCATATAAGTTTAGCCTAAAAGTTGTCCCACATAGGTACTTTGGGACCAAAGTGTATACTATCTGTGCACATGGAGCCATAGAGACCACTATAAACGACCTACAAATGCCTGTCTGCCCCCCGACAAAGACCGACCCTCAAGCCTAAACAGTGCCCTAAACTACAAATATTGGTAATAAAGTCTTGCCGCCCTGAACCCACGAAAAAAATTTACAACCTCCAAAATAGGAGCCCTAAGCCCTTAACAAAATCGCAGCATCAACAGCACAAACAACCCAAAAAACAACAAACCGAAACAGCGCAGCCCTGGCCCATGGGAACCCTAAACCCTAAACCCTAAACCCCAAAGAACAGGTCTTCGGTGAGGAGCTGGCAGCCTTTTCTTTTCTTCGCGACCCACCCGGGACAGGTGCCTGGACCTGGGGTGTCGGACTTCGGGCTTTTGGGTTTCGGACTTAGGGCTCAGCGGTTTAGGATCTAGGGCTTCAAGGGGGAGACTAGTTGTGGGTAGTCGACACTGCAGCTTCGGTTTGGGCCGGTCGCTACGCCGAACCCCACCACACCACCCCGGGAAAACAACCTCTTAGCTCCAGCTAAGGGGTTGCTTCTCCGTGTCCGGAATAAGGGGTGCATAACGAGCCCACCTTCGGGGAAGAGGTAATGCACCCCCTTAGCTCGGGCTCGGGTAAGCAAGCAACCCCCTAGCTGGAGCTAAGGGGGTCTGGGGGCCTTCCCAAACTGCGTTTAGAGGGACGCACAACAGGCCAGGGGGGCAGCTCAGTTAAGGGTTGCTTTAAGGCTGGGGGGGGGCGTTGCGCTTGCCGGGGCCAGGTTAAGGGTTGCTTTGAGGTAGGGTTAAGGGTTGCCTGAAGGCTGGCACGTGGCTTCTAAAGACGGGGTGCCTGTTAACGATAGAGGCAGACCCTAAATTATATCCCAAGGGTCCCCATGCAATTTTTTTCCCGGGCTTGGGCTTCAAAGTGGCCGCATCCTGCTGTAGACTTTTTTGTTCATGATCTACAGCTAGACTCCCTGAAAGCCCCGGACACCAAAAACTACAATCCCAAAGTGCTTTTCCTCTGAACCCTAATTTCCGAGGTGTGCTGCACGCAGAGCTCCACCCGGTTCCGTCGATGCGTTTGGTGTGGAGTTTAGGGTTTAGGTTTCAGAGTCTATAATAGTTGCTGAGTAGTACCCTTTTGCCCTTTTTTATTGTATGGTTCCATTACTAAAGCCGAACATAAGGAAAAAGGGTACCCTCATTATTAGCTGGTCACGCAGGAACCTAGAAGGTGATGGTCCTCCCTTGCCTAATATAGGGGCCGTTTTTCTTTCCGGTAGGCTGAAGGTCCAGGGGACTGCCTATTGCAAGACAATAAGTTCTGGAATCCCACGGGTGTCTGTATGCGCTAGAGCGCCGATTTACGGGAGCCGGCCTATAACCCGGCTGCTACGAGAGCCAAAACTCAAACATGCGAAGCCTATACATAGCATCAACTAAAGCGCCAACGAAAATCAACAAGGGTTCTACGATGCGCAGCAGAACCCGTTAACACCGGCTACCAAGCAACAGAGTCCTGAGCCTATTCCTCCAGGGCGTGCGGGTGACAAACTACAAAACCAAACCCCACCTGGTTGCTTTAAACAAACCATACCCGCTCCGACTTGCGTGCCGTGTACACTGACAGCGTATATACGGACAAGCATGCCGAGCCAACTCACAAGTAATCAGGACTCCACAGGTCAACCGAGGTAGCGCGGTCGCTTAAGCAAAGTGGCAAAGTTGATTACTTCCACAATGCACTGAGAAACAGGTCACAAGCATCTGAGCTTACTATTCTTGGCAACGGTCACCTTATCGAGGAAACTCTTGCTCCACAAGCGCCTCGACGGTCATCTTACCAGCCATCCAGAGATCGATGAAGCCATCTTCCGCAATGTTCTTCAAGCCTCCAGTCGGAGTGACGATGAACCGCGTTCCCGAGCGCATAGCCTCCATCAGCACATGTCCACATGGCCCCCACCTGGTACACACACAAAAACATGAATAATTACGAACACCGTTCCCTACAGTTTCTTCTTATATAACTGCGCTCTAATGCACCCCAAAAACCCTGTTCTAACTATGCAGCCCGCGAAGACATGCAAGTCTGGACTCCGAAGCCGCCGAATGTCTCAGTCATTCCAGTCAGGCGCAGCGAGACCTTCAACCTCAAACCCGATCATCGCTAAGCCAAGGCCCCAAAGCATGAAGGGAAACTTGCACCACGGAGACTTAAAACTTCAAAGCCCCAAGCCCTTGTCATTTGTCCATTCGTAGCCGCCGCAGTCCAAAGAAACCAAGCCTGTCTAGACCCTAGTAAAGCCTTGCAGCAAGCCTACTGAAGTCAAGCCGCTGATAGTCAGGATGCAGTGGATGTTCATCACACCGGTGGAGGCCACAGGGGTTCTTGACCAGGAGCATTTGCTTGCATTGCAAGCACCTACGATGTTACAACACTGGGGGGATAGTTTTCAGCTACAGAAACCGTAAGTGCGAGCAACCTCGCTTTCTCGCTCTGAGCACGTCGTGCAAATTGGGATACTGTGTTTCGGGCTCGGGCTACTGAAGCATGCAGCACCCTGTAAGCACGCAAAAAAAAAAACAGATTTACATGACATGTTCACAACTTCAGGGTAAGATGCAGGATGTAGAATTTTGGTTTCGATTGCAAGGCTTCGTTGCCTCAAGTTGGGGTTTTGGTTTGGGGGATTGGGACCGCTTGCAAAGGTTTTCACACACGATCTTGGCAAAACTCTAATCCAAAGCCCTGTTCTTCATCTTGTAGTTGTGTCAAATCCCCTCCACCAGCCCTAAACTCTAAACCATGAACCTCTCCACCATCCAAAACACTTTGATGTATCCGTTCTGTTTCGGCAGGGTGGCTCCTTGCTCCAGCCGATGCTTGGCAAATCGAGGTTTCCGACATGAGGAATAGGGTTTCGGGTTGAGTCCCGGGTTGAGGGCTAAGGAATTGAGCCGAAGGCGTGTAAGCGTAAGCGATACCGATACCCTTCGGCAGTTCTGTGGTCAAGGGTCCTATTGAAAGAGCGAGACGACGCAGCGCAATGTACAGTGTAACACAGCTGTCTGAATCTCTAGCAGGAGTGTTCTAGTCTCAACATATGTTACACCACAATCATACTCCCTATACCCTATATAGACCCTAGACCCCAAAATCTAATGGAAAACCCTAGTCCAATTGCTAGTCTGGCCCTTTTCTTAGACTCGAAGCCCTTTGAGTTCCCAAAAAAAAACCCAGCCGAAGTCTTATGGGCGACAATAATCAGATTCACGGGAGAGCTTTCATGCTTGACACTTCACATCCACAGAAGCCCAGTCCAATGAATTCAAAACTACCTTTTACGGCTGTAGGTTGAGGAAGCAACATATGTGCGTGTCGAACCCTGGCACTCCCGTGTTTACTGCCTGCGTCCGAGATCGCGAAGGTTTTGGTTTAAGGGTTCTAGAACCTAGAAAGTACCTGTTAGTCTCCTTGGCAATTTTGTTCTAAATGCTGAATGATAAAAAGGTTAATAAGTTAAAACGGTAAGCCAGACAGGAATTACAATGGGGACAAGTTATGCTCTTGGTGGGACATGCCGAAAAAACACCATCAGTTTTGCCCTGCGACAAAATGCCAACCAAGTCCTCTTCGCAGTCCTCGCCTCCTAGGACTTCTGTTCGTCTCTCCCCTTCTCTCTTGTGGTCCAGTTTTCCGCCCAGACCGCTTTCTGGTGGCTTGGCCATTGTCGGGGTCCTTCCCAGTACTGCAGCTTCACCAGGGTCCTTGTTCCTGCCTTTGATCTTGACCTGGTTCGATCCCCGGTCTCCTCCGTAGGGATCGCTGGGGCAGAGGGCGACATCGCAGATGGCACAGGAGCAGCTCCATCCCCGGGGCCGTTTCCTCCCCGTGGTGGCAACGTAACACCTGCCCTCAAATCCTCCTGGGCCTTGTGCTTCTCCTCGTCGTCCTTCTCCGGAGCTTGCAGTAGTTTCTCCTCGGCGTCAGTCTTCTCTTTCTTGGGCCTTGTCATGGCACGGGGAATGCAGGCTTCCTTGAGCTCTCGGAGGGCCTCCTCCTTGGCCTGGAGAGTTTCCTGGGCGTCGGAGTGCAGCTTTGCAAGCTTCTCGTGGTACTTGTTCCTCCTTTTGATGTAGGACTGGCGGAGCTCTAGCTGGAACTTTCTCCCACCTGGCGTCCAGTCCTTTCTTTTCCTCCTCGATCCGACGGCATTTGCCCTCCGCCTTACGGAAGAGATGCAGTGTCTTCTGGATGTTTCTGGCATTTGGACCTGAGGGCCGTCAATCGCCTGTGCCAGACAGGAGCGCGTGGAACGGCTCACTTGTGCTCCTTGGCACCCAGTGGCTTCTGGCTGTACACAGCACTCCGGCTGCGCTCGATCCGAAACCCTACATATGTACATACATGCATGCATGCATGCATACGTACATACATAGGCATGCATATATATATATATATGTATAATTGTAAATACCTGCTCCTCCTAGTTGGGTAGCTGGAGCCCCTGGAACGAGATTAAGGATGGTCGCACCGGCACTTCGCTGCTGGCGATGAGGAAGCTGGACATGGCGTTGCCCGCCGGTGTAGTAACTACTTACATTGCATGCATATGTGCACACACACATAAGAACATACATGTACTGTACATAAGCATGCGCTTGTGTGTGTGTGTGTGGGGTTTAACTACACGGATCTGTACATAACATGTTGATAGAACTACTTCTGGTTTGGTGGGTGTGCAGATTTGCTTGAACGCTTATTGCAGTTGTGTTCACATATACGTGAGCCGATCTGAGGTTCAGAGTATCGCATGGAGACTACGGATTGCGTTCGAGTTTTGTGTGTTGAAATGTGCCAGGCAAACATCTTCTTAACTTGCCACGGCTAGGTTTTCCGGAAGTGGTGAGCGCAGGACTTGCAATGGGTTTCTTGGAGGGAAGCTTAGCATCCCATCTTGAGGCTCAATCTGGTGGAGCGTTTTGAGACTTGTCTGCCATTTCCTGTGTTCTTGGGGCTTATGGATGTTTGCGGTGCTTAGGTACGGACCCAGCAGGGTTGGTGATGGGTTTAGGAGGCGTGCCATTCAAGAATCTACGGGAACAACAACATTTTTGATGTGTTCGCCTTTAGCTGTGCTGCACGGCGCATCACGGGTTTCGCTGTGTTTGGGGCCCGACGCACGGTGCAACACAAAATCAATCCTCGACAAATGTGCGAAGCTTTCAAAAGCGACAGGACGTAGATGTGTGAAAACGTAACTCATAAAAAAGAAGCCTTTGTAGACCCAACATGCCAGGCTAACTTTGGGACGACCTCCTACCGACCTACCGTGATCAGACTATGGACGGCCGCAGCTGTAGCTCAATCACTGGGGCTTGAAAGCCTAATGCATGGAAGTTCCGAGTCTTGATTCCCTCTAAGGCATCTTACTGGCACTAACCATTCCGAGATAAAACCCCTGGAGAGGCCTATCAAAATCTGTTCAACTAGTTACGAGTGCTACTTCTTCAGACCGACGGAGCCGGAACGAGACCGTTGGAAACGGTCCTCCACCCTGAACCTGAGTCTAAACCCCCCTCAACCCTAAGCCCTAACCCCTGCACCCCCGACACCGGGGCCCAAGACTCCTAAAGTCCGCAACCCCCTAGTGCCCTAATACAGAAACCTCGATAGTTATTCCCTCGGTTTCATTCTTATCATACTATAAGTATAAAGGAGCCCCAAAAACCTCTAAACCCTAAGCCCTAAATCCAAAAAACCCCTAAACCTAAAGCCCTAAAGCACCATTTAAGGCCCCTACATTATAAGCGCTCGAATGAGGAAGCCGAGAGGGGCGAACCCTTTCGCTGGATTGTCTACTGCCGCTTGGACATGGCCCCCGGGCGGCTTTTGAGCGATTCTGTTTGAGGATTAATGTCTATCGGTTTTTGTGGGTTTAGGAATCAGGGTTTAGCGTTGCTATATATATATATATCAAGAGAGAGAGAGAGAGAGAGAGAGAGAAAGAGTTCTACAGGCCCTCTAAGGCTTTTATGCGGTGTTATGATGAGACGACAGTGTGTGTACGGCTAAGGGGTTATAGCTGCATGTACAGGTTTGGAGTTTGGGGTTTGCGGACCTTGTTTACAGGGCCTCTTGACTCAGTTATTAACATTGTTAAGTAACATGGGCTATCAACAACGAAGCCTGAATGTCTGAAATTCACAGGTGTATACTTAGTGGTTTCTGGACCGGCTGGTTCTTGTTTTTAGATTTTGCAGTTGGTGTTCACAGTTGTTTTTCCATATCAGAGTACATTTGCTTCAGGATGGGATGAATAAGGGTTGGATAGTCTTTTTAGGCTCTTGGAGGTAAGCTTGAATTGGGTGCTTTTGGGGTTGGTTGCGTAGAAGCTAATTATGCGCCACTCACTTTCTCGCTCACTCGCTCGCAGATCCCTCCCAGCCCATGGAGCTCCAAAGACCCACATGCTCTGAAACTTCAGGACGGAATCCGAACGGAGGTATCCTCAAACCGCAGATCCTGTATACAGTGCGGTAGGCAACTATGACTATACCGAGTTCCTGAAACCGAGATCTCCGCCGAGTCTTCGGAAGACTTACTGAAACAGGTCTTCGAATCCTCTCCGAGGTTTGGGTCCAGCCCCATCCGCCCCTTAGCCTCCTAGATCCATTCTTCGTGCAACTCGTCTGCACACAGCATTGCGTCGTGACTTCGGATAGCTTGGTTTTGAGGCTCTAAGGTGTTTCAGCCGCAAGTAAGAAGAGTTTCGCATGTTCTAGGACATACCTTACAGGCTGAGGTTCCAGCAAATAGAATCCTGTCTGCCAAGGGCGAGGACCCAGTAAGGCTTGCTTCATGGACTTCTTGAGGTGCATCGTTGGCAACAGTGGGTGCTTCAGAGACGCCTCGTTGCCTAGGCTACAAACCACACAGCCGGGACAGACACACACACACACACCACCTAAGCCATCTGAATTTCTAAACTTCTAAGCCGGACGCGGAGTTTGCTCTGGAATTTTGGGCCGAGGTGTCGAGTTTGGGAGCTGCAGGCTGCGTCTCTTGTGAATTCGGCGGGGTAGGGTTGCTTACAGATTCTATGTAAACACTAAGCACTGAACAGGGATCGAGGACTGTGGGGTTTAAGGCCTTCTTGAGCAAAGGCATACTTCATCTGTTTATTTTATACATACATACATACATACATGCATACATACATACGCACATTGAGCAAAGGCATACTTCATCTGTTTATTTTATACATACATACATACATACATACATACATACATGCATACGCACATTGAGCAAAGGCATACTTCATCTGTTTATTTTATACATACATACATACATACATACATGCATACATACATACGCACATACATATTGTACACATTTGTACACCCACGTCACTTTGCGAGGCTCTTCGAAGATCGTGTCAGAATCACAGAGCAGCCGAGGCCACCGAACTAGAGCACACGAAACACAATCAGAGGTAAGTCAATCCTCACTCGTCTGCCCTCTGAGGTGGATGATGCTGCCAGCCAGTGACTGGCATGCGACCATGCCCAGGCCGGAGCAACCTGGTTCGGGGTTCGATCAACATGAGATCCATATGTTAACATTGTTATTCATCTGTTATTTTGTAACATTACTACTTTGTACTATTTTTGATTTTGTTATTTTTAACGTGTTTAATCTTGTTGCTCTTATCATTAGCAGGATCTGTTATTGTGTGGATCCTGCTTTGTTTGAGAATGGGGCCCCCTTCAACGGTGTTCGTTCAACAAGTATCCGAGCGATATTGGGGGGGGCCCTCCTATTTTCTTAAACTCACATCTGCAGGCTTGGGTTTTTGAGGTTAGAGGTTCCTCTTGGGTGGTCCCTCTATACAGTATGATACTACTCCCACAGCCTGCAATTATAGAGGCCTGTATGTTACAGATTTCCTTCACGATACCTGTATGCAACCACCGCAGAAATCAATTTGGCCTATCCGGACTTGCAATTATGTACCTGGCGCTTAGCTGAGCTTAAGGTTCAGGGTTTGGTGCATGTAGCTTACCGATTTAGGCTTGCAATAGAAAAGCTCCCAGGCAGGGTCATACTGGGCTGCCAGAGACCCTTCTGCTGCAATCCAACACCCTGCCTTTGAAATCATACGCCTCTAAGGTTTGAAACTTCAAGACACTGACCTTGAGAGCCCGTAAAGACTGGATTGGGGCATTTGTGGCCTCAGGCGAGAAAGTGAGTACCTAGGTTAATGGGACTTGCGGCGAGCTTCAATGGAACACAACCTTTTTAGGGGTTTAGCTTTTGCGGGGCTTTAGGCCAACCTTAAAGATCAAAATAAGCGTAAACTTGAACTCTGCGCAGGCATTTGGCTGCCGCATACTTCCGCCGATACAGGCCAGCGAATCGGCAGGAAACCGTATATAAAAAAGAATCCCCTGCGTGCCCATGTACATATGTGCAGTTTTTGTTGACAGTGTATACATACATATATAGATGCATGCATGCATGCATGCATGCATGTATGCATGTTTGGTCCTACAGCTATTGTATGCTGCAAGGAGCCCTTCACGGCCATAGTATATACCCTCTAGGTCCTTAGACCCTTGGCTAACAAGACCCCTGCACCACGAGACTCCCGGAATTCCAGCCTGGGCCCTGTAACCGTGAAAGCGGCAGGGCCTGCTCCCGCAACCCCGAAATCAAACTTAGGGGCCATCCCTGCTGTAAGGGAGATTTCAACGAAAGACCTGCTTTTTGGCCGTTCGGCGCACAAGGGTGTAGGGTTTAGGGTTTAGGGTTTATGTTGCAGGTATGCAGGGCTAGTCGGAGGAGATCCCAAAAATCACACACTCTGACACTGTACCTAGTGGCTTGGGCTTCTGAGGGCCCGAGAGGACGTGTGCCTGGGTTCCCCGAAGGGTTTACATAGGGGTTTCGGGTTGTGGGGTTTTGAGTTGAGGGTTGAGGTCTCGGTTTTAGGGGATCCACTCTGAGTTTTAGCTTTGGAAGCTTCGATTCCAGACGAGCCTTCGTCCCATGTCGTTTTTGGAGGGCAGGAGCGAGGACTCTGGGGTGTCAGTCTTTCGATCTTGCATCCCAAGGATAGATCCCGGCCGTCGGCCGTAATCATGAGCTTGCTGAGTTAATATAGGGGCCTCAAGACATTACATTGTTTTTTTGGGGGCACCTTCTGATAATTATACTATGAAGGACCCCAAAACCCTATTCTAATTATTAAGGCCCTTGTATTACACACCCCCAAATCCTAAACCCTAATATTAAAGATCCCTAAAGCCTTGCTTCTGGGGCTTGGGCTTCAGGTTCCCTGAACCCTAAATCTAGGACATTTTCAGGTGGGTAGTTGCCGTTATAATTATAGGAGCCTTTGAGAAGGTCTATATATAGCCTTATGGAAGCCCTCTATACCCTAAACTCCCCACCTGTAGTTTCCTTTAACTAAAGCCATTACCAGGCTGCTCAAAGACAACACCGCGCCAGTTCTTCGATATCAAGGGCCGCAGACTTTCGCATACCACGGGCTCACGGTGCAAGGCTGGGGGGCGGGGCCTGACCATAGGGGTCACCAATATTATTCATCTGGATACTTTGTGATAAGTATGGAAACTACACCCCAAGACCCTAGACTAAGCATTAATGCCCCTATATCCGGGCGTGCGGGTATGGTACAGACCTAGTGTTGGAACTTTTGCTTGTGTTTCTGTGTATTCACTCTAGCGAATTTAGCTACATTTAGCACGATCCCGCCTGAATTCAAAAAGTGACATTCAAGATCTTTGCTGTAATTGTTCTGACGACCCTGTGGCTAGACCCTTGACAGAGCTCTAATCAACTATTATCCCTGAGCAGTCATCATTGAGTCCTGAAAGATAGATCCGGGGTCCGGAGCCTAAACCTTAAACCCTACACCCTACACTTTAATCGTTAAACTAGACACTAAACCTCACAACGTCAATCCCATGCTTTCGACCTATAGTTGTGCTGTGGATTTCAGGGCTTGAACAAGTTCGCTAAGCCCTCAAGCCCTAAACCCCAAAACCTAAACCCCCCCTAAACCCTAAACCCTTAAGCCCTAACACCTTCGTGAAGGGTTCACCCTAAATCCTCAACCCGGCTCCTGTAAAGGTTCAGAGTTTAGGGTTCATCCTGAAAGCTTTATTCCAAACCTCTAGCGTAAGACCCCGACTGGTGAACCCTTTAGGGGTTAGGGGTTCAGGGGTTTATAGGGCTTAGGGTAACTACCAACTACCAACCACCCCGAAACCCTCAAGCCTAAAACATTTATCGAAACTGTGCCCTGCGACAGAAGCCTTGAGCAGTAAACTCGCTGCACAACCGGGAAATCACTCCTTCCCAGATCTTCCAACATCCAATACATAAGGAATCTACCCGTAAATTTATAACAGGATCCTTCATATGATTCACCCTAAACCCCATAAACCCTAAACCCTAGACCCTTACGGTATATTCATTAGTTAAGGGGTTTTTGATTTTTGGAAGATCTGGGTTTTTTCTGCAACAGACAGGTCCGGGATCCTTAAATGCACCGGGGAGCAGCTCACCTACACTTTTCGCACTTTGCGACTACTTTGCTTTAAGGTTCGAGCTTTGGGTGATTTGGGTTTAGAGCTTTAAGGGTTTAGGGTTTATAGGGTTTAGGGTTTAGGGCCTTCTGTGATCTGGTCCTCCGGTTGGATCTTTTCCCCATCCGCAGCCCGAGGCCCTGAAAGCAAGAGCACCTGCAGGCAACTAGTCTTAGTCATCCCTGAGCGGTTTAGGGTTTATAGGGTTTAGGGTTTAGCCGAAGCTTTACTCCTTCCATCTACCCTAGGGTTTAGGGTTTAGGGGTTGGCCCCTACACCCCCTAGCACCAAAAACCCTGAACCCCTAAACCTCCAAAGCCTCAAAAGCTGAAGCCCCCTAAGCCTTCGAATCTCTACCCGAGCCCTCTGAGCCTGGAGCCCGCCTACCAGGAGTGGCCACGGCGACGATGGAAAACATCGCGTCCTTGGAACCGTGTCGGGCAGCCCAGGGCCCTGGGTTCAGAGCAACTTGATCCTTAGGCTTCAATGCTTTTCTTTGGGTACCCGTCCCTTAAGGGTTTAGGGTGTAGGGGAACCATTATGAAATAAGAGCTTTAGGGTTGAGGGTTTAGAATTAGAATCACTATGAAATAAGAGCTTTTCTTTTAATTTTAGTCGTGAGTTGTGCAACTCGGTTGAAGTCTGAGTAGGGTTTGGACACGGTGTGCGCTCCGCAACATGCATGGGATGTGTTCGGACTGCGAAATAGGTGACTAGGATTCCCGGGGTGTATAATAGGTTTTCGTGTTATGACATGAAATTGAGCTGTTGTTGTTGGTCATATTCAAGGCGAGCAGGGTACACGGCAAGACACTGCATGATGTATTTTGGCTTTTAAGTGCCGTAGCTGTACCCCAAGATCGTGATCAACGGATGCCAGCTGACTCGGCACTCTCGCCCCTGTGGGAAGTGCATCTGCCTCGTACGTGGTGTAGGACAGAGAGCCTCAAGTGTAGACCCCCTAATTCAAGGACCGGCAAAAGGGCTCCCCTAAAGTCTCAGCAGCCTAAAACTCTGCACCCTAAACCGAAATGGAAGAATACCTAAGAAGTCCCTAAAACCCTACACCCTAAACCCAAAACGAAAGACACCTAAGAAGTCCAGAAACTTCCAGTCCCGAGGCGACTGGGGCTGCTTCAGCGATGTCTCAGACTCACGCCGTCTGCGCTGGCGAAGGGATGCTGCTCGGCTTCGGAAGGGAAGCCTTGACCTATTCCGCGAAGTGCAGGGGTGAGCAAGCACTCTCGTGACTCTCGTGCTTGGCTCAAGTGGGGCTCTTGAGCCGTTGGACGTATGCATGCCGTTCGAAGGGTCTTTTATACGCTCAAACTAATAAACTCTAAAATGCTGAACTCGAAACGCCCAGACCCCTAAACCTTGAGCCCTAAACCCCTATAAAGATCTCTTAAGACCTGAACCTCCACAACCCCGAGCCTTTAACGCTTTCGGCTCAGGGCTGTCTTTTCCGATGCTAGTCCTCAGTCGGAGAGCCGGTTCAGGCTTCAGACCTGAACTCGTGCAAGGTTGAGAGTTTAGCGTTTATGTAGGCTATTTAGGGTTTAGGGTGAGAAGCACCAGAAGGGTCTAGGGGCTTATCATATAAGTTGTGCAGGGAGTTTGAGTTCTGCACTTTGTAGGTTTAGCGGGTGAGGCATCTGCATTCCCTGCAAAAGCCAACCCCCTTACTGATAATATCGGCGGCTTTGGGGCGAAGCACCGTGCTATGCAGGTTGCAATCTTCAAGTTGGCCCTGGGGGGTTTGGAAAGCCTCGGAGAGCACAGCCCCCACAGCCCTTTAAATTCGTCACCGCGGCCAAGGCCTAGCAGTCGGAACCGGCCCAAAGATTCCATGTGACTGCATAGTAGAAAAAAATTGGCAGTTGAAGGATTCCCATGTTAGTACTTCAGGGTTAAAGTATACGCTATATGGGTACTTTCGTTGCTTATACAGTAAAT